TAACCCTAACCCTAACCCTAACACTAACCCTAACCCTAACCCTAACCCTAACTCTAACCCCTGTCTCTTATACACATCTAGATACGTATAAGAGACAGGCGCTTCACATTACTACCCCCGCTCATTGGATTAGACGCCTATAGAACACAAACTTTCCCTAAAGTTGCAGCAGCTACATCAGCGCATTTTGGCATTTAACCCTACCAGGTACCCATTTATACTCCTGGGTGGAGACAAGCAATGTAGATAAAGTGCCTTGCCCAAGGAGGCAAGTGAAATGCACAGCGAGGGGATTGAAACCCCGACCTCGAGGTTGGGAAACCAAACCATTCCCACTGTGCCAAACCACTTCTACTTATATAAATATATATATGGCAATTTTTCTATACAGATTTTTTAATCGAGATAAAAGGAAAGATCCAATTTTTGTTATTGCACTTTTGATCTACAAACCCAAACCATCTCATCTTTCAATATTTTACTGCATAAATGTAACGGATATGCTTTTAATAATACCTGAAGCAATTACATGCAATGCATACAAATTCTGTAGCAACGGAGGGAGAAAAAAAGCAGAAGGGAAAAAAATGTCCATTAAGACTGGAGATTGAGGCATACTGTAATGTACTCTTAATTCTCTAAGGGCCAAAGTACATCCTGAAAAAAACAACACTGATGGGAAATTATGGGCACATTTCCAAACCTAGCAACACGTCCATGGCAACTGTAGAATAACCTGTACTCAAGCCGACGTGCATAATCCTATTGCATTACTTTGACTTGAACTTACGTTTGCAAATGAGATAGTTTCGGTTTCTTTCAATAGTTGGCTGTCAGTTCCCTAGACTGTGATCAAACTGGGCACTCGGAAATGAGTTCATTGAAAGTCAGGTAAAGAATACAGGGCAATAAATTTTGCACTATACCTGACATTTAAGCACAGAAATTTATTCTGCATTTTTGAGCAAACAACAATATAGACTATTCTGTATTGATAATCCTATTAAAAATATTTTTATTTATTAACAATTAGGTCAATTTCTTTCTCTTTACTAAGATGGCTACCATATACACGCTTCCACACACGCGCACACACACACACACACACACACACATATATGAAAATATATACGTAGAAGGTAGCAGCTAACTAGAATCCACCCTCCAATCCAAGACCACATTTGGGACCTTTAAAGTAGGGTGGGCTGAGGGTTGGGCCTCCAATTAGAAGGCTTAGTTTTTCATTACAAGATTGAAGATTGTTAGTTGGACGATACACTGAAAAAATGGCCTCAAATTAGTGGGGTTTCGGAATTGATCATGGTTCCAATCCACATTCCTAGAACCATAAGGAAAGCATCTTAACAACCAAGTCACATTAAATTGGAAATTATACTTTTTTTCAGTGTTTGTATTCAAATATTATTATTAAGAATAAAACCCTGAGTGAATTATTTTTTAAAAGTTTACAATGAACTTGAAAAATATATTGATCTCTGTTTATAGAGATATTGCTGTGTTCATATAATGAAGTCATCATCAACATTCTCATTGCATCCATCAACCATCCAATCTAAACTTTATCCAACATGAAGAATTCATGTACAGTTTATTACATTATAAATTCTAATTCATGAATGTTACGTCAAAGGCTCTGAATTGCTAACCTGTTTACAATTCACTAAGGCGTCTTTAGATTCTGCTAAATGGGTTGGTAATGTCCTTACATGCACCTCTTAGTTCAAATCCTGGTCATTATACGATGGGAAGTGTTTTACTGTCTTGCAAATCGATACATATTTTTTGTTCAAATTGAACATTAGGACTAGTGTCTTAATTAGCGGTTGATATCAAGCATATGGTAAAATACTCATTGCATGCAGAGAATCGAGAGAAAAATATGGGGCCATGTAAAGCACGAGCAAGGAGGGGAAATTTTGTAACAGTACACACTGGTATATTGAGTCTTGAATTATAAGTCAACCATTATCATCATTATTCTTATCACTATCTCACAATCACTTTGATCATTGCATGCAGGGAATCAAGAGAAAAATTATTATTATTATTATTATTATTATTATTATTATTATTATTATTATTATTATTATTATTATCATCATCATTACTGTCAGTTTACTACATAGTAAATACCAGTATAACAACATTCATGAATGAATTGCGTTTTGTGTTTAAATATATTTATATTTATTATATTCTTGCACCTTATGTCAGATGGATAAAACGAATCTTGCATCATAATATCATTATTATTTTTATCACGAACTCATTATTACTTCCACCACCATTATCATCAGGTTACTACAGTAACTAACAGACTCTTATTATAGTACAGTTCATAAATGATTTGTGGTGCATTGATCTATGTAAATCAGATTTCAATAAAGTGAGAATCAATGGCCAGGCATTTCACATCAAGTCCCCATTGGCCCCTCATTGCGTTAGCTTGACCCGCATCAATTTTCTGCTCATCAGAAGAATTCAATACTGCTTTAAGGAGACATTACACAACCTATTTGAAGGATTGATTTTCACAAATTATCTCAAGTGTAGTGAAAAGCTTCCCCAATCACAAGGAGCTTCTTGAAATATTATCTCAGCAAAGTGCCACACATTCCAGTTCCTAGTTTAAATCATGACAAAGTTGTATTCTATATTTGGTTTATTTTTTCACAAGTTGCCCCTCCCTTTGGGTCTTGTTTAGTTTATTTTCCATTGTTGTCATTTTCTATTTAAATGTTACATTATTTACTTCATCGCTTATCTGTTTTTCTTTCACAATCTCCCCCTCACTTTGGGTCTTCTTTACTTACTTTCCACTGTTTTTCTATTAAAAAAATACTCAGTCCATGTCACTTGTTACTTTATTTAGTCCATCTGTCACTAGTTTTTTTTCTCACAGGTTGCCCCTCGCTTTGGGTCTTGTTACTTACTTTCCGCTGTTATATCATTTTCTATTTAAATTATTTACCCTCATCCGTTAGCAGAACTTACTTCAAAAATCCTTAGATTTATTTACAGCTAAGGGTCTATCTAAAGAAAATATTAACAGCAGTATTTAATTATTTTTTGATCGTCAACACCATTCTACCTCATATCAAAATTGGTAGCTATGAAAAAAGGCTCAAAATATTGCAATAGCAATTGGAAACATACATTAACTTCTGTATCCTCCCAAATCCAAATTAATAATTTTTAATCAGTTATACTTTTTAAAACTCAATTTTTTGCATATCTGTATTTTTCTTTATGGAGAGAGCAGTTTACTGTTTGGGTTCATGTCTGTTCCTTGCTCGTGGCAACATTGTACTTTCACTTTGCCGAATAATATTATATGTATATTATATATAATATTATTATAACTTATCGATTGACCTCATTGTTAAAATATAACAAGGCATCTGCTGTAAATAAATTGTATACAGACATTGAAGAGAAATAGGTTTCTGATTTGTTTTCTTTTTTTGCTTTTGCTTCACTTCAATTTGAGTACATAAATGTCACCATCCTTGCATAACATCAGACTAAGCTATAGTCTAGTTGGCTGCAATATTTTCCGCATTTCCCAATACACGGATAAATCATCGACATTACAAACAATTTTCTTGTTTCCTTTGACAGCATGTTCATTGGTTAACAGGCAACACAATAAATATCTGTTTTACAAATTTCCCGAATAGTTATGTTGCAAAGAAAAAAAGTATCTTCAAGCTATTATAACATCAAAAATGTTTTTTTTTTCTACATGGAATATATTCGTAATTTATTTTCTGTTAAACAGGAAGCACAGCTGGTATTTATGTTAAGATTTCTTCTAATTGACAAACACTTCACTGCTGTCTAACTTCATTAACTTACAATTAACAGTTATAAACAAAGGCTGGACATTATAGAAACATGATGTCTGCATTGAAAAGAAGATTATCAAATGGTTTAGTTTAGAATCCCTAGGTGATAGTTGTGTTTAGATAATTGCTTATGGATTTGAATAGCCTTCCAGCCTCATCTACTTACACACAAACAAAATAATCATATCCCATTAGACAATATTATATCTGACTTTTTCAGGTGTGGTAATATTTTGAGGGAAGAAATTAAAAGTTACATTATTTTTTGCATCAGTACTAAATTGAATTGGGGAGGGATAGGGAAGAAAATTTGGAAATATAACTTAATGATTATAAATAGAAATGGAATGATTCAAATATGCTTCATTTCGTTCATATTTAGAGAATAAACTATGCATACTAATTACTTTCAATGTTGTCATCTGAAATGAATTAGTGTTTACCAATAACAAACAAGATTTTATATACTGGATGTTGACAAAAGTTTCGGTTAGCTTGAGGTGATTGCTATAGAACACAAGAAGTCCAACTGTTGGAATAGAATTGATTGATTGATTGAGATGTTTTTTTTTTCATATCTACTGTAAGACGAACTATGATCTCCACAGGAGGCTAAAGGCCTTGTATGTTCTTTTTAAATATGTGACAATGCGACTCTCCCAAAACCAGGCACTTGTCATCACAATTGGAAGTCCATAAATCAGCTAAAATTCCCATTCATTGACCATCTTAAAAGAATGTTGGAATATCTTCATTCTATCTTTGCCATTTGTTAACCCGTTTTCAACAATTTTTGCATCAATTATTAGCTTTTTGACCTCTAGGTAATAAAAAATCTAATGTAATTTTTTTCGTTTTTTGAGACAAAAGCCTGTTTTTCCTTGAGTGGGTTACATATCTTTCCCTCTCTGTCCTCTTCCTACCTCAGAAACATCATTAAATGATCTAATCAAATTGAAGGGAGGAGAATGGATATCGAAGACAAAATGTTTTTATGATCATACTTTTGGTAATTAAAGTTGTCACGACAAACGATGACCACTGATTCTGACCAGTCTATATCACTTACCCTTGATTTTCCAGAGCGATGATGGCTCTTCATAGGTGATATCTTTTCAGCTGGCAGTGCTCGTAGCCCTAACTGTTGCCTAATCTTACTGCACATAAAAATTAGGAAAAGAAAAAACAGAATAGTAATTATTGAACATGCTAATAATCTCTCTAGAGGTAACAAAAAATATTCATACTATCAAAAAACCATCTGAAAATGCCTTGATTTGATACAAATTAATAACATTTTATTATTTAATGATTAATAAACATAATAATAATAATAATAATAATAATAATAATAATAATAATAATAATAATAATAAACATTTATATAGCGCCAATTCAAAAATTCAAAACTCAGTAACATTTCTCAAAAAGGTGAAACTTTAAGTTCTTCTTAAAAGAATATAAATTAGGCGAATTACGAACAGAAAAAGGAAGAGAATTCCACAGAGAAGGAGCTTGAACAGAAAAAGCATGTTGACCATATGTTTTGGTTTTGTTTTGAGGAGATGGAACTGTCAAAAGATTTTTTGAAGATGAACGAAGATGGCGGATAGGTACATGACATTTAAGTGATGCAACAAATATAATGGTTTGTGAAACGCAAGTAACTTATATACCAAAAGAAGCAATTAGATACATAATCAATAATTAATTATACTACATTTATTTTATAATCAGAAATCTTAGATTTCTTTGTTTACTTAAAAAAATTAGTTTGATTCTGATAAAAATAATAATAATTAATGATAATTTTGCAAGGATGGAACCATTACTGGTATGACATGGCTACTTACGATCATGCATTCAAAAATTGTTTAGGGGAGAGTAACTGAAGTGGGGTGAGGGGAGCAATTGACCATTGAAGTTCATTGTCTTTGATTTACATTACCTAAGCTATTACATACATGTAGCTTAAAAATTGGCTCCACTAAATGCGAGCCCTCAAGTTGTATGAATGAAGAGAGACTAGCAGTCTTAGATCCGTAATGATATCGTATGAGCCTTTGTGACCTAGTAAACGGTATGACACTCACCAAGATAGTGAGAGATTGCGGTTCGATTCCCACCAGATATTTAAAAAAAAATACAAACATAATAAGGAACTTTCATTGATGAACTACCTTTATATATAATTTCTTTGACATTAAAAAAAAAGAATATTTAACTCTTGAAAGAATCTTGTTATATACAGGTTTTATTATTCAAGTGTAACCCCAGCAGTCCAATAATACAAGTAATAATATCATCTACGTGTAACCTCCACGGTCCAATCTTCTCTCAATACATTCCTCTCTTGGTAGATTCTGTATGTCATACTTTGAAAACAAATTTTCACCTTTGATATTTTACGATGCAATTTCTGTGTCATGAGTGAGAATATTAAGAAACCTAGAAGACATCATTCATGATTTTGATATGTGATTATAAAAGAGAACAATTCTCTTAAAATGTAATGTCTGGTTTATGACATGACCTAAATAAATTGGATTGAGCTACAAGTTACGATCTTGGCATAAGTTTAATCTTTATTGTACTTATAATATAGTTCACTTTTACTAGATCTAAAGTTAATCTACTTTTTAGCATACAAAATGCTAACTGGTTTTGTCTAGTCTAGCCTAGTTGTTTTTAACTGGATCTATAGTCACTGCTTTGAGAGCAGAGGTATCATCGGTTCTAATATACAGTACTTCATTTTTACTAGATCTAGACCAATGACTCCAACTCCACTCTCTGTGAACGCTGTCTGCTGATTGACGATGGCAGTGTGAACAGTTTTGACTAGTATGGCCTAGTAGCTCAATCTAGGCACTGCTTTAAGGATAGAGGTATCATAGGTAAATTTACATACGATTAGAATCAAAACAGTTCTGATTTTGGTCTATCGATCAGGTCATCTAATCGTAAAAGCCTTAATGGCATTATATTAGCTATGGCAGCCTATCTTGAAATAAATAAAGCTTCAAGATTATTTAAGACAGAAAACTGTTAATATATATAAGGATTAGACTCTACATGTTTAACTAATCATAATTTATACTAATACACAGCATTCATTTGTTACATGATGATTTATCGAACAATGTTATATTGTATTTATAAAAGAGGACTCCTGAACATCAGCCTCCCTTCAGGGAAGTTGAAAGGGCCACCCTCCTTAAATATTGCTGAAATAAAAGAAATAAACAAACTATATTTAGGTATTATACTTTCATTAGGTTTTATTTCTTATTAAAAACAAAAAAAATTATATCTTGTAGTATGCTGACTGTAATAAAATTTATGGTATTCAAGATGATTTTTAATTTATTATTTAATGTATGACATAATTATATTATGTTAGTATTACATTATTGGTTATTGAATGCATAACAAAGAGAAAATGGAAAACTAATGTCAGAAGTCAGGTGCCAAGCCTAACATGTTTCATCATTGGACACCGTATCTTACCTCACAAGCTTTCATAGAATATCATTTAATGAAAATTAATGTTAATGATTTTTGACCAATTGTCAGTGTGTGAATACTGATTCTGTTGTGTTTTGTAATACATCATTTTTACAAAAGTCATGAAATGTACAGTAGTTAAGGGGTTTGTAGTAATATAAATAAATAAAAGAGGAATATAATTTCATGAATTCAAAGAGAGCTGGTATCAAAGACAATCTGGCTAAACCACATAAATGATGATAATGATGATGATAATGATGATAATTAAGATGATAAAAATGATCATGATGAACATTATGATAATGATCATGATGAACATTATGATATTGATAGTGATGACCAAGAGGACGATGATGATGATGTTGTTGATGATATATAGTTGGGTTTTAAGTTACTGATTCATATCACACATTGTATATAAATGAAGAAAAATTATTTTGGTGAAAAGAGAATCTAAATATAAAAATAATTATGTAATAATACGAATATTCAAATATTGCCTTTTGTGATATGTCTAGTCTAGACCAATCCTATTACGCGCTATCTGACTGTTGGATACAGAGTCTAAGCTGACTTAATCCTAGCAAATGTTGATCAGATGTGAATGAACTATTTACCTGATTTTATTTCACTTACTTTGTTTCTCCAAGACTGAGTTCAATAGGGCCGTCAGGCTTGTCCTTGTACAAAGAGATATTGCCGTTTGAATTACATTTTGTGAGGGGGTACGGTAAATCATCACCCAATTCTAACGCCCTGTGAACTTCCTCTGACGTAACAGCTGGGTCATACAAAAAACAAATATTCAAACATGTTATTCTTTGTGATTCTTCAACAATTTATGACATGGTCTTGACATAACCTTCTCGCAAGACTATAAATCAAAACTCAATCATAATATTTTAGTTTAGATTGAAAGAAATTCCTGTTTTTGGCAATGAAATACAACATCCGTTCAACTCGCTGGCCTCAACAACGTAACTCATTGTTTAACGACTTGAAAAAAAAAAACTCGCACACACAAAAACAAAGTTTGCTTACCAACATTATCTAATCTCTGTAGATTTGGTAAGATCTTCAAAACAGTCATTCTGTACATGTCTCCCGCCGCACACGGATTATCAGCTAGCCATAACACTCGCAGTTTCGGCAGCTTTCGAAGATGCCAAATCTCGGATAAATCTGCGATGCAGTTTTTTCTTATGTATAACTCTACAAGGTTTGGACAGTGCAAGAAGTCTTCTAAGGTCGTGAGGCTGTTGACGCTCAAACCGATGACCTCCAGACTAGGCATCTGTCTCAAGATCGACACCTAAAAATATAACAAAATAAATAAAATTTGTTAAAAATATATTTATATACTAGTGTCTTATATATTTACTTCCTTCTCTTTGAAAGTCGAACTTTCTATATTTTTTGTTTCCTATTTTCTCTTTTTTTCATCTTTCTCCTGTTTTATCATAGCCTCTAATTTTCCTCTTCCCTCTTTTCTAGTTTAATTCCACATTCTTCATTTCTATTTTTCTCTTCTTAATCTTTCTCTTCCACATTATTTTTCCTCATTTCCTTTGAGTTTAAGAAATATTTTCCTGTTTCTTCCCTTCTAGCTAAATCCCCTTTTATGTATTTGTCCTCTTTTATATTTTCTATTCTTAATTTTCTCTTTCCCTCCTACAGTAGACTACTCCTCTTCTTGAAGTGACCTGCTCTTCAAAGGTGTTGGTAATTTTCTTTTCCATTTCCCTAGATTCCAAGTCGTGTCAGTAGCATGATTCACATCTTCATGGTTCATGCCTCCTCATGCTAAGGCTGAGATGTTAAAATCACAAATAACATTTACACAGACATTGGATTTCAAATAACATAGCATTGATGTATGAAAGAAGGATAGACTTTAATCTGAATAAAAAACTTCCTTTCTTTTCTAAAAAGTATATTTTTTTAGATAATAAAACCAATACACTGATGAGGTATATAAAGTACAAAATGATGTACTTTGTTTCAGGTCTCTATGTTTCTTTTGTAGTGGTTGCCATAATTTTCATTGACGTTATTTTTTAATATTTCATTTATTTTTGTTCGCTTTACTGTGGGTAGTAGAATTTAACAATTGAATGACTAATTGATTATCATTATTACAATTTAGTGTGTAAAGATATTGCAATTGTTTTCTACTTTTTCATTCTTTGTTGACTTGTGGATTTTTTTTTCTTATTGCAAAGCAATGCTCTATGTTTTACTTTCCATTTGATGTGAGCTGTAATTTGGTACTATGCTGGCAAGTAAATATTATTCAAATATTTGAAAAATATTATTCTACACAATATAATATTTATCTCAGTAAAATATTGTTTAGGTTGGTGGCTGACATCCCAAACTTCTTAGCTGTCACACAACAGTGATGCTTGAGATGGTTATCTTAAATTCAATGCGAGAAATGTGCAGTTTTTATTGTTTATATGAACATATAGTAGTGCGTATTTCATTTTGTATTGTGTTCAGTGTCAATATTGCAATTTCATACTTCACTTGTTTGCAAACTGAATATGATATTAAAGAATATTACCATGTCTTATATTAATACAAATGACAGTTTAGAACGAATTTGATGTACAGAGTGTGATGTTATTTAATTCAGTAAATGCAGCCCAGTAGCTATAAACATCAAATTATGACTTCTCAGTAATTAAACAGCAGTTGTTAAACTGTACAGTAGGTAGGCCTCAAGGTAGCTATGTCAGTCCAATGCAAGTATTGACACCGAGTAATGTAGTTAGGCCTGGGGTTGTTACAGTACAATGATACAGTTAGTCATATGGGTATGCCTAGGGGTAAGCGTATAGTTCAATAAGTGCAGTCATATAGGTTTGCTTAGAGCCAGCGACAGTCAATGGCCTCATTTTTTTATGTAAAAATCATTAAATTAAAGATAAGCATTGTTTAGATATGAGGATGAAATTCAGTGAAACAGAAACATCAACAGTCAGTGAATTAAAGGCTAAAGGTTATGTATTGAAATTAAAAACGAGTGTAAATTTGAATTAATAATAAGTAAAACATTTACAAAGCACCAATATTACTGAACTGAAATAAAATCAGAGTTAATTTATAATTTAAGAAATAAATCAAGGTATGCATATAAAATTTATTGCTTTAAATTTTATGAGCCTTAAAAAGTAAAATAGTTTTTAAATGCCGAGATGCTACAGAATTAATATGCCATGCACCTGTGAGCATGCGCACAGATTGACGCCAAATATCTTAAAAGTCTACACGCCTTTACGATGCCTGTTTTTCTTACATGGATAATATATGGGATACAGGCTAAACTTGCAAAATTTAGCAGGGAAGACAAGCTGAAATGCCAGTAGAAATGGACATGTCGAACTTTTTTCTCGTATAATGGTATAATAAAGGATCATTTCCATCAGTATATGGTGAATAAATCGCTATTGGATTAGAATGAAATAAGAAATTAATAATAAAATTTATGGAAACTGGAAGTGAATTTAATGTTTATAAGATTTGAATGTATACTGCGGTGTAAGGTAACATCAAGGAAGTCTTCTTGCTTATATCATAGAGAAAATAGAACATTAAAAGGGATTAAACAACAATCCTCCACACACAAGCATCAATAGTGCAATTACTATTCAATTTTCCAGGTGTGAAATTTCAATGACTCTGTAAGTGATATGGAAATAGAAACTTCATCCTGTGACAAGGTTTTCAAGCACTTACGATTTATTGTAAACAAGCGAGGTGTTAGGATGGGCGTTGGAGACAATTCTATTCGCTGGTGATTACTAGATAAATACTTGAGACATGTTCATAGATATTCATTTCAATTTTCACAAGTTGATGAAGTGATTGTTAATCTTAATACATTTTGATTCATATTCAACTGCAAGTAACTTGTCACTGTGATGCTTGATGTAGTTTATGATGCTGCTTACAGAAGACTACCGTATTTTAACACTTTATGTGAACAAGTCAGCCGCTGATAACAATGATTTCGAATAAAGAAAAAAAAAATCACTTTTGATTAACACACCTGTCGCCATAAAAAAAGAAAATTAAAAAAATAATAATAATAAATTTTTATTATGCCCACGGTGAAATTTCCAAATAAGAAATTTTAATTTTTTTGTCACGGTTAAATTATTAAAGCATTCGTCAATTTGATTAATGTACTGCTTGTATTTTTTTATCCACATGTGATAGAATCTTGAGCAAAGGGCCTAAGGGCGCCCTCTATTAATGTTTTCATCGCACAAAATCGTGTTTCCTCCTCAATAAAATTAATTTTTTATTTTACTATATGACTAAGTTGCTGGCATTTCTATTTTCCTGAATGAGAAAACAAAATTTTATTTTTATTTTTTCTTTGCTCTCCTCTGTATTTCATGTTCTCTAAATAAGGTATAAGAAAATTTGATAGTCTGGACAGGGCTTTAGGAAAGGGAGTTGTGAGAAACAGGAATTCCCCAACGAGGGGGTCAAAGCTATCTGACAGGGGTCCAAGCACCACGACAAGGGGTCCAACCCAGTCGGGGAAGCCTAGCTCCCCTGGTCTGGGAAAAATTAGAGTAAGAAAATTAATTAATAATATAATGTGTTAATTACAGGGTTCTTTATTTAAAAATGATAATTTAATAGAAAACCATGCAAGTTTTCGGGGGTACTAGTACATCGCAATAGTAAAAAACACCACACACGTACGGTAACACTGCTTAGTATGGCATGCTTGAATTGTACTTTCAGCGCTCGAGATTAGATTTTTCTCTCGCAAGCTTGCTGGAAATTTCCCGACAGGGGGTCCAAAGGTTCCTGACTAGGGTCTTTTGTCCCCCGGACCCCCTGCTAGCACGAAGTAAAATGAGCTCCGCACAATAAGTATGCACACAGATACACGCTGTACATCTCGGGAGTCAACCAATTGTTAAGTGTCTTTTACCAATTTGGTAAATGTTTTCTCGGGAGTATTACAGGGCTCTGCAATGTCTGTTTTTTCTTACATCGTTATTTTACGGGATGCGTGCTAATCTTACACAGATGCACATGCACAAGGACGCGATGAAGCAGGAAGCACATTATTATTCCCCAGCACGCGTCATGTACAACATTTTTGTTTTGCATTAATCGGTTATTAGCCACCAAGCAACAACTCCATCCAGACAATAACAACAATTTGTTATTATCACAACCTTGACAATAATGTAGAATCTAAAATCGATTACATTTTTGAAGTTTTAAATGAGAAATAAACCATTCTATTAGTGTCGACCTTGAGAAGTTGTCTGTTATAGCAATGTAATACCTTTTTTTCTGTTATACTTTTTGGACCTAAAAATGTGTAGATAATTTTGATATGGAGTTATAGCTAAAGATACTGCCTTCCTGAGCTCTTGGGATCAAAAACCAGGATTTTTAATAAGATTAAAGAAATTAAATGGAGATGGGCAGGACACTTCATGAATAGAAGACAATAGATGGACTAAAGACATTAACAAGTTGGCAACTAAGAACTGGAAAGGGGAGGAAAGGAAGAAAAAAGAAAAGGTGCAGGAATGACATCAGACATACATGGGAACAACAAACTGGGTAGAGAACAGCAATGGAGAAAAAAAGATGTTAAGTGTTGAAGGAGGGTTTCACACAAAAGTGAGTGAAATAGATCATGATGATGATGATGGTGATGATGATGGTGATAATGATGATGATGATGATGATGATGATGATGATGATGATGAAAAATAACTCCACCACTGAACCTCTTGCAGAAATTAATAAAGGTTTAATGCACTTAGAGCCCGAACAACCAAAAGTCTATTGCATCCTGAAAGTGGAGGCTCAAATGAAAATAAACAATAATCATTTTAAAATATTTATTAAAATATATTAATGTTGTAAATGCTAGGCTTTCCTATTTTATATTTTTCAAATAATCCAAGGGAGATCCAAGATGTTCCTTGAATGCAATTTGTTCCTCATGCAATGAGATGTAAAGTTATTAATTAGCATAACTTTTTAAGCCATTTTTGCTGCTGCAACTACTGTTGTTAAAGACCTCCCCAAGCTGATGCCATTCCCATTTGTCCCGTTTTTTTTATATGTTGAACATCCGATCACAAAAAGATGTTTGACAAAAGATAGTATAATACATACTCCAAGTATCGAAATACACGCCATCGTGTTGGGACGACGTGCATTTTGATACTTGGAGTATGTATTATACTATCTTATCTGAGATTAATCAGTGGACCTTTTGACGTTTGACAAAAAACTCAGAAACGGTTATTGCTATACAGATTTTTTTATACTTTAAATCTGGGGAAAAAAGGGTCGTAACCAAAATTTATTAACATCATTTTACCCCAATTTTAAAATAATCAAGAACTCCTAACCCATTAACCGGTCTTTACCTCATATCAATTTTATTTTGTTTTCCTCCAGAGCCTGGTTTTAAACAATGTGATCAAATTTAACAATTCTGTTCCTGGATCTAGATTGATTGTCAATGTACCTGCTGTATATTACTGCAGTAGCCTTTTTTCAGTGTCCAGTCAATCGATTAATATGACCATTGAACATATTTCATTCCAGCACAGTGTCCTGTTCATCTTTAGTTCATAGATCATAAATTATTATAATTTTGTAATTACTAATTAGGATTAAGGATTGAATTTTGTAATTTCATATTGATTATCATTCCTTGCAGGCTGGGACAATATGCGATTGTAACACAATTAGTCCAGCGACACATAACTTATGATCATATTTCTTTAATAAGCCTAAGCTTGGGTTGTTAGGTTGGATAGCAAGTGAAATCAACCATGAGATTATTGTATGGCATGTTTGAATATGTAAAAGTTCATTTTCTGTCCTCTGGGACTAGCTAAAGAGTTTGACTGTACCTACAAAACTGCTTGCATTTTCTGGGCCCCTATTAAAGCAGTCCCACCAAACTCAACCTAATTCAATGTTCAAAGGAGTGGCCTTAAACTGCAAGTAATAGCCATGTGCAGTATCGTAATCACAAAGCATAGAGCCTGGGGTGAGAAAATACTGGGGCCCTTTGGGGTGGGTCTCCCTACTTAAAAAGATATGGATGTAACACCTAAAAAGACTGGCCAAGGCTCTGTATTACTGTGCTGGGTAGTACAGTAATAAGAGGAGCTTGGTGCCCCCTGTTGTTTGGGGGGGGGGCCCAGGGGCTTTTCCTCCGAGAGCTCATAGGCGTTAAAATGTTTGCGTTAACCCAGCTAACAATATTACGTTATAAGTATGTTAATGATAACGTAACAGTTTGGTGTTAAAAAAGAACGTTTTGTGTTTGCTGGGAAGCTAGTAAATCTGAGCCCTCAAATTGGTTAGAATATGTAAAATCAATGAACACACTGTTTCAATCTGTATTACTGTATATCTCTTTGAAAGTTATAACTTATTTGAAATCAATTTGTGAGATTTATTAAAAAGTGAATGTAGCATATGATTAATAGGCATTTTCAGTAATTAATTACTACTTTTGAAAGTGGTAAAGTTACATAATCATTAAAAGAAAAAAAAAATACAAATGGTTATACATTTTTAAATGAGAGTATGTTTGTTCTAGTTGTGTAACAACTTTTGTCTTAAAATGTATTTGAAGGTGATACAGTCATATTATTATTAGTTTTGTTGTGTGTGTGTGTGTGTGTGTAATTTGAATGAAAAGTATTTTTATCAAAGATAAATTCTGAAGTGAAATATGGAGAATTCATTGAAATCTACATAATGCTTTTTGATCAAAGCTATGCAGGAAGCATCTCTGTTGCTAGATAGGTTATCAATTTATTTTGCATTGCTGATGTTACTACTATTGATACCTCTTCTGTTTCAATAATTAAACTGTTCAGTAGAACAGACATGGAAGAGGATAGTTCTATCAGTCAAGCAAGCCGCTCTGAGTTTTGATTAATTTGGTAATTAACAACGAATGAAGGTTTTTTCTTTTAACCTTTAAAAACTTTCCAAGTTGGTACAATTATATCATTATTCGTTTGGCTATATAGTGTGCAATTTAAGTGCCAAGTAATATTCAAAATTAATGTTTATAAAAAATATAAAGAATATACTGTACTGACTGAAATCAAAATATTTTGATTGAACAATGCTTTTCATGGAAAGTCTAATTAATTATCTGTGGCTAGATCGGTTAATAATTTACTTAACATCTTTAACGTTCCTACTGTATTAGGTGGTCCCTCTTTGTTTCCATAATTAATTTGATTAGTAGCAAGCATAGATCAAACAGGATACTTACATCTGTCAAACAAGCTGCCCTAGAAAATAAAAAGAGAAACCAAAATGATTATTCATAACACACTCAAAATAATCTACCGTAATTAATGAAAGATACAGAATGCTACCAAACATTTTTTTTTTTAAATCCCCTAGCTGTTGATAATTTTAGTAATCAATAAATTATTGAATTAGCTACATTCCAAGCAACATAGACCTACCTCCCTGTGTTAAGAAATAATAAAAAAAAAAGAAAAAAAAAAATAAAAAAAAATAAATTAAAAAAAAAGAAAAAAACTCAGTTAGTAGAATTATTTGGCAGAAACACTGTTAACAATACAGTGGAATTGGTATATAAAGTTAAGCCATTATTGGGAAAAATACCAACATTATCGCAATAGAATAGATAAAATCTCAGGTAATTTCAAACAATTATATTACAAAGCCGCAACAAAATGTCATTAAAACATTATTATCACGGCATTAGATAACCCAAATTTCTAAACTTTCTCTTTGAGCCTCCTGTTTATACTAGATTTGAAGCGGAAATAATATCAAACAAATTCAGCAATTGTTTGAAAAGAGAAGAAAGTATTCAACAATTGAAAGCCACAGCAGAACGGAACCAAACAGATCAAGCATACAGGCGGAGAACATCAGAGAGAGCATTGCTATGTAGTTATACAATCTTTACTGTGTTATTAATTCACAATGACTGATTGAAGTACAGTACTGAAAAAACTACAACCACAAGCTAATGATTGTGAAACAATACAGACTACAGTGTATGTTAAACAATGAATGCTTATTTAATTAGACGACAAACCAGACTTACGCAAAGGCCTTGATTACTATGTATTCTACAGTAATATCATGATGATGTTATTCAGTTATTTCGGCTCTGATAATTTTGTCCTGAATCGTTTCAGCCATTGTTTTATAATTTTCTAAGCCACCGGTTCAGCTGCTTTTGTTGCTATTCATTAATTTTCTGTTCTCGTTTTCAATTATAGATCACTACGGTCTAAAGAGTGTAATTGGCCTAGTTTTTAGTCTCCTCAGTAGATCTTGAGACATCAGTGTGTCTTCTAGACAAGTATCAGTGAAGATAAAAATAAACAGAAATAGCTTGCCTTCTAATTCTCTTCAAATAATTAGCTTTATTAATTTTCTATTTTTATTTAAAATTTTGTATCCTAATATTATATTTTTTTTCAAATTGACATGTAATATATAGGCTGCTATTATGCCAAAAGCAAACTACTTGTACAAGTAGGTTGTACATTACAAGATGAATTGGTATTTCACCTTTCAAAATAAAATTATTGGGAACATGGTTAAAAGATTGCTTGCTCTTCATGATATATTAAGAATTTAATGTGCATTTATGGATACTAAGTGTCTGGAGCGCCAGTGAATAGTTTGCGATATATTAGTTAAAATGGATGGCAGTGTAATATTTATAAGTTACAACATGCATGTTAAATAACGATATCAATTATTCAGAAAATCCAGAAAGGAAAACCAGGAACAGATTGCAATTTAGCAATCTATAGGCAGCCTTTTAAAGCCAGGCTCTGGAGGCAAAAAAAACTGTATTTTGTACAACTAACTTTCTCAGACACTGAAGGAGTACAGTACAAAAAACTGAGTAACGGTTAATATGATACAGATTTTTTAATATTGAAAACTGGAGGGAAAACAGCATAACTAGCCATAATTACCCCCGGTTTTTTATTTTTTTAAAAATATGTAACCTATTAGCTGATTCCAACGTGTTTCATCAATCACCCTGTCAGTGTCTATAGCTCTGTCTACACTATCAAATTTTCTTTGACAATAAACTGTTGTATGCCCATATATAGCCATGGTGTGCCTATATATGGTCAAGATGTGATGTCATCATTACCATATTTAGGCATGTCACATGTTTTTTCAAATTTAAAATCTGGACAGGGCCCCTTATAGAAAAATTAGTTGTACCATAGAGAAAACAGTTGTTCTATGTTAAAATTTCTTTTCCTCCAGAGGCTAATGGTTTTAGCTGGCTCTGTAGTCTTGTCTTTAACTACAGAACATCATATACTGTATTTTTATACCTCCATGATCATACTAAGGCCTAAACATAGAACACTGTACAATGGTCTAAACACATAATAATTGGCCTAGTTTTAAAAATCTCCTGACTTGTCTAATTATGTCTATGAGGAGCTATAATAATCAATGTGGCTTTCTTTTTGGACAAGGTCAATGAGGGTATAAATTCTCAATGTGATAATCAGAGGAAAGCAGGGATTAAACAGTTTGCAAAAAGATGTGTTTAAAATATTGGTTTTCAAGCTACTGTAAAAGAAGATGCAATGTACCTTACGAACACATCAATAGACAAAGTAACATGAATATAATTTGACAGTGTTTGAATCTGTTTTTTGGAAACCTAATTCAAAGCAATTTGCTAAAGTATTGTGAAAAAATGTACAGCTGACATTTCATACAAGAATAAAAAAAAAATAAGATTAAGTAATTTGCAAATAAAAATTGTTGCCCTTTTGATGTTCTAGAAACAGAGAAAAATTAGGCTTCTGCATAGGAGAATTAGGCTATAGCTAATTGCCCCTTAATTCTACAGTCTTAAGTTCAAACCT